ATCGTGATAGTGTCAAAACTCGGCTTTACTCAGTTTATGAAGTAAAAAGATTGAAAATATGTAACTTTATAACTTTTGTTTATAAGTCTTAGAGGGTTATACAAAAGGCTATACATAATAAAAGTACGATATATGATATGCCGGCATAGACAAGTGGCTTAGTTCGCCAATGACCACGTGGATCATTGTTTTATGATGTGGTTTTCTGCTTTCAGGCTGTGAACTGGGTGATTCCTCAGGGGTGAGTATGGTGGGCAAGTCATCTAGAATACATAGGGCGAGCTTGTAAAGACGAGTCTTACGAATGTGGGGGTGAGTTTATAGTTGGTGTTATTTGGTCCCCAAGATTTGGAACAATTATTACGTCCTCTGACCGGACGTAGAGCTACGTTCGGCCGCCAATAACATATCACCACGTGCTTTTACTCTCTACTGCGCGGCGCGACGACTTGACCCGGACCGGAATCCGGGAATGCTATGTTCGCGTATTGTGAGGTATTACTCGGTATTTGCTCGGTATTGTTCGGTATTGCTAGGTATTGCATGACAATAATGAGAAATACCGATATGTGAAGACTAATACTGAGCAAATACCGAGTTGTACCAATACCTAGAAAAACTAGGTACAACTCGGTACAACTCGGTATTTGCTCGGTATTACTCGGTATTTGCTCGGTATTGGTTATTGCCGAGCAAAATCGGCCAATACCGAGTAATACCGAGCAATACCTAGCAAAATCGAGAAATACCGAGCCATCCTGGGTCTGTTCTGGGTCGGGTTGTCGGGGTGCACGGTAAATAGTGAGAACGCGTGGCGCGATTCTATTGGCGGTCGAATGTAGAGCTACGTCATGTGACCAGACCAAATAAAAGTTCCAAGATTTGAGAGATCGTAGCTATGGATTTGAGGTTGGTGGCCTTGATTATGGATAGTTATGGGCGAGTGGTCCTTACTGAGGTGAGTGACACAGGGCTCAGAGCAATATGGATGAGTTCTCTAATGAGACTTGTTGATTGATTATGCATTGATTTAGCCTATCAAAGAGATTTTTCATGTTATGATCTCTTTAGGGCTTGGGCGAGAGTGGTCGTTGATCTACGAACATGCGTTAGCCAATTTGCCATGATCTCACATGTGAGTTCCCCTTATGGGTTGTTTGATTTTAAGCTCGGTTTGTTAAAAATTATGGTTGTTTGAGCTTAATTTGAGCACAAATTGTCTACTAATCAATCCATCTTTAATGAGCCTGCTAACGTGTCGAGCAATTTTTATCGAGCATATTAACAATCAATTTATTGATTTAAAAAAAAAAGAGATTTTAAACTTATAATTTAATTTTTATAGAAACAACAATCTAATGTAGAATGGTGAAAGATTACCATATAATTAAGTTTTAAATGAGCATGTTATTTAGTTTTAATTAGGCTTCTTAATGAACATATTTACAAGCTTTAAATTTTAATTAAGCTTCTTAACGAAAATATTTGCTAGCTTTAAATGATGTTGTTGATGATGATAAATAAATCAACTAATATGTTGACAAAAAAAATCTCTACTACATTTATGTTTTTATTGGGCTGTTTTTACATTTCTTTATCATTTAGAAATCAACAATTTTTTTTTTAAATTTATATTTTCATGATATATTATATTTATCTTAGGCAGACAATAATTCCATCAATCTTTAAAAAAAAAAATAAATTAAATTCCTTAACATTTTTAAGCTACAACTTTCATTTTGAAGACCTGAGCAATTTGCTATTGGAAGTCCTAAAAATTCAATGATGAAATACTCCTATAGTCTATAACATAGGAAGCCAAATCATCATTTGTCCATTTAATAATAATAATAATATAATTATTATTAATTTATTAAATTAAGCAAACAACTCTTTGCAATCTGAACCAACAAGAAACTTTCAGAATATGCTCAAGATTATTATATTTATTTAAAAATTATTAAAATGTATGAACACATTTAAAATTTATGTTAATTTTTTTTAAAAATAAATTCAATATATTTCTAATTTATTATTATCAAATTTTGATCAAAATTTCTTCCCCAAAGATTATTACAAAAATTATGCTCCTTAACTATATAGCATTATTATTATTATTATTATTATTATTATTATTATTATTATTATTATTATTATTATTATTATTATTATTATTATTATTATTATTATTTTCTATATAGCATTAGGATAGAGCTAACTTGTTTTTTAGGGTTTATTCTCCTAACATTTTAAATCTCTTTTATTTAATTAATCTTCTTAAATGTTTATTATTTCAAGTTTGGTCTTTCAATTTTTATGATATTCTTACACAATATTCTCGAGTAAAATAAAATATAATAAATTCAAATTAAAAATAGAAACTCCTACATAAATTTCACAAATTTATGAAAACTATTGCTCAAAAATATATTATGTTGTCAAATAAAATTATAAAATAATTATGACAACATTGACATAGCCATCAATTAGCTGAATTTGTATAAAATGTATGATATTTTTTTGTTAATAAATTTTTTTTTTCTGTTCTTCTTTTTCCTTTCTATATTTGATAAAGATTTTGTCTATTAATTTCTCAATAAATCTCACTTAGGAATAAAAAAATTGTAATAATTCATAATAGTTTAAAATTTTGATTTTATTATATATAAGAATTCTACAACTATATATTTTTACTAATAGACATAAATCCCTCCTTCAAAATCAAAATTGATTGAAAGCCAATATGTAAATTGGCATAAATAATTCTACAAATTAAGAGGGACTAAATTGAAAAAAAAATAAAAGCAATCACATTTCTAGCAGCTTAGGCTTTGTTTGGGATGACTTTCTTATTGCTTATTAAAACATATGTTTAGTACAAAATTTTTAATTTTTGAATAAAAAAATTACTTTAAGAAACAATCATCCCAAATGAAGCTAGGCAAAATAATTATGATTATTCATATGAAAAATATGAAGACATAAAAGAATGGTTTATATGAAGGGCCATTTTTAAAGATCAAACAATAGAAATAAAAGATTTATTTATTAAATTGATACATCACAAGTGAGGTTATTAAGAATATCCAAGATGATGGGAGAAAAATATGAATGGAGATTAATGGTCAATGATTACCATAATGGGTTGTGTATGGAAGTATGATTGAAGTCGTCGGGCAGCGATGATTAGGGAACTTATAAATAACTATTGGTGTTGCCTCGAATTTGGCTCGACCTTTTGCTACAAAAAATAGGTCAATAGAGACCAAACAATATAGAGACAAAAAGAATGTGGTCGCTAAAGATGATTAATCATTCAATTTATACAAGATGTATATTGAAGTTGCCTTGAATTTGGCTCGACCCCTATTTGTTCATATCCTTGATCGTCGTACGCCTCGCAAATATGCGGGAGTATAAGAGGGCAGTGCGCCCCGACGCCCCTTGGAGGGTTTTTTGGTTGTAAGGATATTTTTGGAATTCAAATTAATAAATAAAATGATGATTTTTCTGTACTATTTCTCATTGTATTTGGTTTGTCGTTTCCTAATAATAACACATCTATACAATGTGTTTAATTATGTAGGGGACAGTTGTCTAAAGACCATAATATTTTAAAACATTTAGGGGGGCCAATTGCCTCAAAATCCTTGTAATAAAGACTAAAAAATAAATAGAGAGGGACAAATTATCTAAAAAATCATATGATAATTTTTTTTTTTAATTTTTTTAGGGGGCCTTAAGGGGATCCGCCTATGATTGGATATCATAGCTCGACTCCACAAAGGATTTTGCTGACATAATAGAAGAATCGGTATGTTCGAGTTTTCTCAAATTTTTTACAAAGCTAACTACTTCTTCCCTTATCTTGAGGTATAAGAGTAGTTCTTCCATTGGTTGCGGGCTTTATAATAGCCGTTGTGAAGATAAGAGTGTCTTCATATGCTAAAAAACTTGTGTAATCTTTATTCCACATGAACCGTTTTGCGTTATTTAGAATTGCAGCATCCTGGAATACTTAAGGCAATATAAATTTTAACGTCCTAGATTTGTACGAAGATCTAACACACAAAGAGATGAAAGGTAGAGGTGTAGCGTTCATAAGAGACATCAGAGTTTTTATATGGAAACACTTGAAAAGGAAGAAAAATTATGAGGCGTTGCTCAATTTAAATGGATCCATTAGTGTTTGGAATTGATTGCAAATGAGGCCCATCCTTGGGTGGGAAGGTCTTGGCTCGATGTAGCAAATATACATCATATAGAGTATATTACATAGTGGAAGTTGAAAGAATTAGTGTTGACATAATTGTTTGGTCTGCATGAACATAGCCGGCGAGCGATGTAGGTCAGAAGGGTCATATTCGGCTAACGATGGTCGGAAGGATCATAATCGACGAGCGACGTAGGTCGGAAGGATCGTAGTCTGTCAACGATGGTAGGAAGGACTAAATTTGGCGGGCGATGGAAGGATTGTAATGGTGTGACGGTGGTATGAAGAAACGTAGTTGGCAGACGATGAAGGTCGGAAAGGTCGTAGTCGGGTGACCGGGGTTAGGCGACGGAGGTCTAAAAGACCTTAGCCAGACGATGACGATTGGAATGATTGTAGTTGGGCAACGGAGGTCGGAAAGACCATAGTCGTGTGGTGATGGTCGGAAGGACCATAGTAAGGTGACTGAGGTTGGAAAGACCGTAGCCGGCGAGCGATGAAGATCTAAGGGTTTGAACACATTTTTATATAAATGTTTGGAAGTTGGATCATAGCCCTAACATTGAGATCTAGTCTTTGTTTGGTGGAAAGTGGATGGAACTTAAAAATGAATTGCAAGTTCAAATCATCAAGGCCTGTAACTAGTCACTTTCATATTTTTGTTCCTTTTTTAACATACAACAATAATAAAGTCACATAAAATTAGTGAAAGGAGAGTTTACAAATTTACTTTTTCTCATAATAATAATAAAATAATATAAAAGATTATATGATTACTGATAAAAAATGAAATCAATCTATCCAATGAAATAAATGGCCTAGTTTTATTGTGTAAAACAAAACATAAATCACTGTAACTCACTTTTTGAACTCAGCTTTAATCACTTTCAAACACTTATAATGAAACAAATTGGCCCTATACTAAAAAAAATACAAACCCCCATAACTGTTATGGTCTCCAGGCTTCTGGTGGTGGGGGTGGAGTAGGAAACATTGGAGGAATTGCTGAGAAAATTGAGTTCTTATCCAAGCCAGTCTTCAGGCCTGACAAAGAAACCAATGCAGCTACAAGGCCTGCATTGCCTGCAAGGGTAGGTTCAGTGTAGTTATAATTAGTTCTTTCGTCCTTGAATCCATCATGTCTATCAGGCCCAGCTACCATAGCTCCAACCAGTGTGTAGGGATTTGGCTTTTTAGTATCTCTCCATTTCCATCCTTCTTTACAGGTATATTTTACTCCATTTTTAGGTATTGAAGCTCCTCTGTGATGAACATGCTTGGGGTAATGGCTTCCATATCCAACTAAATAGCTCATTTTCTTAGGATTCTTTCCAAGAATGTAATCAATCTGGAAGAAGTAAAAAAGGGAATTATTTTCTTATGTGTAAGCATTGGAAACCGTCATGTAATGAGTTTTCGATAGTTAAGAGAATGCTAGCAATGATGGTGACGAGTCCTCTCAGAAAATACTTGAAATGAATATGATAGTATATAGTGGTTTGTTCTCTCATTATCACTAGAATTTACCATCAAAGCTCTAAAAGTGTGTTAGAATCAAAATTTAGAGATGCTGATTGCTATTTTTCAAGGGCCAACATCAAACTATGGTGAAACTGCCTTCATTGTGAGTTGAAGGTCAGTTTCAAATGGTAAAAATAACTTCTCCACAAATTCATAAAAAAGTTTTGGATTGTATGCATTAAATAGTTGTTTTCCTGGGGTTAGGGCATCTTGAATTTGGGTGGAATTTGAGATCTCTTAGCTTAGATTTTTGGGCTCTAGCAGCATCTAGAGATTTGGGAGAGATAGATCCTCCTCTTGAATAGAGCATCAATTGTATCTTGATATTTTCTTTCCGTTCTATCTGATCTATTGCAATAAAATTATTGTTTTTGCTGTTTTCCACTTGAGTTGTGAACTATTTTTGCTGTTTTTGTCAATAGTGTTAGGTTTTACTTGAAATCTTCAAGTATTTCCTAATAGAAGGTTCCTCTTAATTGAGACAAATAGTATGCTAGATTAGTACTTATACTTTCAAGAAAGTAACAATTGCTGAATATGAACCGAAATGCATTAATTTGATACTAGAAATGGGGAAGAAGGCCCACCTGGCTCCTGGCAAAATTTCGCAGGACTTCTGTAGAGTAAAAGGTAGGTCCACAGTACCATCCTGGAGTATCAGCTGCTTCAAGGTAATCACTATATACTGAAGCAAGAAATGCAGCATTTACAGCATACTGAAGAGGTTGTGGCCTTCCATGATTTAATTGTATCAGACCTCCTGCAATTTATTTCAAAATTAGAACTCCATGAAATTCGCAAATTTGCAGCCATAAGAAAGACTTCTACTTTACTTGCAGACCTTTAGTAAAGTTGAAAGATCTGAAGACAGGCAAGTAAGAACACATAACATTTTCAGTCTGGTTATGGAAAGTTCTCAGTATTTCTTCATAAGGGTATCCTGGGCTCAGGAACAATCTCAACCTACTCATAAGAACCTGAAGGTGATTAGAAAAAATATTTAGCAGCTTGTTAAGTCTGTAAGAAGAGAAAGAGACTGTGATTAAGTTGGACAGAATTACTTTATTGGATTCCTTATGTTTACTTTCTATAGGAATATGCATGAAGAAATGACACCTGAAACTCTTTGTGTTGAGATGTTTACATCCATAAGAACAAGCCTCTAGCAAGAATGAGATTGATTTTCAAATGTGGACAAAGTTGATATATGAATGAGGGGTAGAGACTTATTCTTCTTGATGCACAAATTTCAAAGAAAAAAAATATTTTCATTGGGGAAAAAAAATTGGTTGAGGAAGAAGAAATTTCTATTTATATTACAAGCTATTTTTCTTACATAGCATTTTTTTAGAAGACAAAAAATGGCCTGAATAGAGGACTTGTATTGCAACTCAAGAGAAAAATATTATCATGTCTTACCTTTTGTGGGAATTTCTTCCTGCAAATACAAATTTTGTATTTGAAAAAAATGATCCACAACAACAACAATAACATCAAGCCTTTATCCCACTATGTAGGTCTGCTACATGAATCATTTTTCTTTATTGTGTCATGTTAAGAGTTAAATTCTCATTTAAATCTAATAAAGAAATGTAATTTCTAATATTTTCGAATCAAGTCTTTTTAGGTCTACCACTACCTCTACCTTTCTTAACATATCCCAAATCAAATACACCTAGTTTCCTAACCGGATCATATGTAGGCTGCCGTTTTATGTGACCAAATCACCTAAGACGACTCTCTCAAATCAACTTCAATTAGAGCTACTCCAATCTTTTCACATATATGCTCATTTCGTATTCTGTATCTTAGAGTAAAGCCACCCATCCACTTGAACATCCTCATCTCTGCAGCACTTAACGTAATATTATGCTTCTTTTTTAATTACCAACACTTTGCACCATAAAAATAAATGATCCACATGTCATTTTTTAATTGAAATTATTAGTCATTCACACCTAATAATTTCTTTTTTTAAGCATATAAAATTCTACGAGAGATTCAAGATATAAATTCTATCCATAAAAAAAAAAGGAAAATGATAATTTTTTTTTTACTCATTTTAAGTATAGAATTTTAAACCCTTTAAATTATTAATTTCTAACAGTATCCAACCAAAATGATGAAATCTAATTAAACTCACCAAGTTGTAAAACATATTTTTTAACTTCAAATGAACAAATAAATCCTTAGACATGAACAAAATTTAACAAGGATGTGAGACAACATTTCTTACTAATCTACATGGCTGTGTGAGAAACAACAATACTACATGAACTTATGGGAAAGCAGGTTGTCAAGTGATTTGACGGATGTGTAATAAAATCAGCCTCATCTTAATATATATTCAATAATAGCAATCAACTTACAGCTTTCTACCAACTCAAGAATTGTAACTCACCTGAGCAGCCACAAGCTTGTTATCCCAGCTAAGAACACCATAGTCAGGACCACCCCAGAAAGCACCTGCATGCTTAGCAATGCCACGAGTAGTAGCCAACTGAAGGTAAGAAGAATTTCCAGTAGCATAATACAGCCAAGCTCCTCCCCACACATACTCATCCCAGTAACTTGTGGAGTTGTAGAAGAGAGAAGGATCAGAGCCTCCTGGACTGTACCTTCCTCTCTGTTCTCTTCCATACTTGAAGAGAGTTCTTGCTCCATGTATAAGTTTTTCTGAATATTTTCTGTTGTCTTTGAAGACAATGGAAGCAGAAGCAAGAGCAGCTGCCATTTCTGCAGCAAGATCAGAGCAGCTATGGCACTCATAAACAGGTCTTGGGTACTCAATATCTTCAGGTCTTACCCAGCAGTAGTGGTCGTTGGGGTTTGGCCCTTTTGAAGTGTCTCCTTGCCCAACCTTAATATCAGAATTAGTCGAGCGAGTTATGGTTCTGATGCAAAGTTTCAGGCATTTTATGGTTCTGATGCAAAGTTTCGGTTTATCATTTGTCTTTGGACAAATATTTGGTGGTTATCTTTGTTAAAAAAAGTAACGGTAAGATTATTTTGATTTTTTTTAAGAGTTGAGGGATAAAAAATGATCCCTTAATATAATTGAGGATCATTTTGATCATTTTCTCTAAGTTTAACACCTCATATAAAATTCACTCTAAATGAATAAAAATTCACAATTCACAAATCTGATCCCGAGTATTTAAGTAATACAAATGATAGTGATGATAATGATGTATTGGTCTATGATTTTCTCTCATAAATTATATATTACTCTTCTTTATATATATATATATATATAACATTAAAACTATCATACTAAAATATTACTCCTCTAATTATATAAACTACTTGTCATCTGAAACATAAAATTCAGCAAATAAATCATTAGATTCATTCAGAAATTCAAAGCAAGTGTCAATTATGGCTTCGTTTGGGACGGCTTTTTTATTGCTTTTTAAAAGAGCTTTTTAATATAATTAAGCAGTAAGAAAGCCGTCCCAAACGAAATCTAAACTACTACCCAATCCCTTTTTTTAATTTTTCCCAACAAAATCCTCTACTTAAAACTCATTTAAATGATTAAAAAATATCAATCATCATCTATCTTTGCCTGCACAGTTTCAGCCACTGTAAATACCTGAGCAGCAATGCGATCTATTGTATCAGCAGAAGAATTGAAGGTCTTAAGAAGATAGTCAGTTCCCCACTTGATGATTTCCTTAACATGTTGGAGCTCACCAGCTGAATCATACTTGTCTCTATATTCAACCACACTCCAGCTTAGCATAGTCATGGCAAATGACATGGGGAAATTAAACTTTATTGCATCCCCAGCATCATAGTACCCTCCTACCAGGTTCTTCCTCACTGCATTATCTGACAGTCCATCTCTCATGCCGGAGCTCCCTCTCCAGCTCACATTGCTGTGTTTTGGAATTGGGCCAGCTGCAGAACTCAGTGGATTAGAACATAGAATTTTTTTTTTTTTTATAAAATTATGTTATGAAGTATAGTATGTTAGTATGTTGTTTGATGTTATTTAGATGTTGATGTTAGTTTTATATGTTAAGTATGATGGATTTGGTTTTGTTTTTTAGATCATCTTCTCCTGGACAGCTCATTAGAAATGCTACAAATGTTCTTTTTTTTTTGAATTTTTAGTTTCTCCAAGAACTGTTCATCAAGAATTGAATTGAAGGGCATCTAGTATTCCAACAGACTTACATCTCTGCGCATTGAAGAACAAGAGCGCCTTATGCAGAGCTAGCGTGTACTGATCCGGCGGCGGCGGCTTCGGGTGGCGATGTGGAACGACATTTATAATGAGCAATATAAACCCGATAAGCAGACCAAAACCTAGAAGAGTTCCAGCGGTCCAAAAAAAGATCTTGCGGCTGACGACGAAGCAGCCGAGGTCCACATAACGTTTCTTCATCTTGCCGGAGTCGCCGGTCCTTGCGAGGAGCCAGCTCTGTTGAGTCTCGTCGAGTTGGCGGGAGAGCGCTGCCCTGTCTAAATCTTGGAGGTTTCTGCTCCGGTCGTCGTCGGTTGCAGAGTCGCCTCCGCCGCCGCCGGCGGCGGCGGCGATTTCAAGTGGGCCGCCCCATGGATCTCTAGAATACATGGTGATGAAAGTGCCGATCAAAGTAAATGATGAAGTGTAGAGTTAGAGTAGTGAGTAGGGAAGACTGAAGAGTGAGGGTGAGCGGGTGATTTAATGGAGATGGAGAAGATGATGTGGGCGAATGGTGCTGGTTTTGGTAGCTTTAGGTGGGTGGTGAGTTGCTTTCTCTTTTCTTCTATCTATTAATGGAACCTTTAAATAATTATTGATTTTTTGAACATTTGGGTGAAAGACTCATTATAATTGATATGAGGACTTTTTTTTTTTCATTAAAATATATTAATAGTAATTAAACTATTTCAAAATCCACTCAAATTAATATATAATTATATTATTTTCAAGATATATTTTGATTTATTGCATATAAATATATATCAAGATGATGTGAACTCCATTTTCTAGAAAATTATAGTAGATATTGTAAAGTTTGATGAGATAAATTTAGTTGGTATAGATAACAGACTAGTATCCATCTTCTGATATCCTTAATCAAGTATTGTGTGGCGCACATCAGTAAACAACATCTGATACCTTTCTTTCTGGCCACTGTATCTTTCATCATATCTAGAGAATGACTAAGTTGACCATCAACCATCACTTAACTTTAAATGTTCCTAGTTGAACATCATTTGATGCCTACATGTAATTGATTTTAGACGTCTGCTAGCAACCATTATCTGTCACCCATTTTCACAGTCTCCTACTCTCATCAGTTATCTTTATGACGATGGAGCAAACCACCGCCCATTGCTCAACTTTGGAACTTGTAGTCGATTATTATTAAGCACGTACTAATATTCAACATTTGATAGTTGATGCTTGCCTTTCCAATCATTTAGTCTTTTCCTCGATTGAGAGAATAATCAATCGTACTGCCAATCATTTTCCCTATTGATCATCATCACGTGCTTACCAATGACTAATATTTAATGTATGTCATCCATCAGTTCCTAATAACCATCATTTTAATTATTTGATGTCCCTTTATATTAAGAGAATGATCAAGCATATCATTGATTATTGCTCAACTTTTGATATTCCCAATCAAACATCTCATATTGCTTGATAACGACGACATCCATAAGCCATTGACATTCAATGCAAGCCTTCCTAGTCACTTGCTCGCAAACCAAGCCAATCTCTCATCATTATCTAATAATGACTTTCAAATCTCAAGGTTCCTCCCATTATCTCCCTCTCATAGCTTTCATAATTTGTATCTACTATATCATATTAAAACCTAATTATATGGAAGGATGTCATTTTTTAAATCTTAGCTCGCATTAGTAGTCCTTTGAACTTGATTTTCAGATATAAATTTTGTATCTCATTTGTGCTGCTCTCAACTCATCTGTGTGAGTGTTGTAATATTCTTATGCAATGCTAAGTTGATAAACTTTTAGGTTTCGTTTAGGATTGCTTTTTTATTGCTTCTTTAAGCAGTTTTTTAGTACAAAAAGTAAAATTTTTATTAAAAATCTACTTTAAGAAGAAGTAAAAAAGCCGTCCCAAATGAAACCTTAACCTACCATCATAAAAAATTTAGTACGTAGTAATATATTTCAATATAACCTTGAGCTAGCTTAATTCAATTCATGATAGGTTTGAGTCTAGTTGACTTTAAGTTGAATTGGCTTGTTGGCAGGTCATTGACTTTAATGCAAACTCAACCCAAGCAAGAAGTCAATTCCATTTTTAAGAGACCTTTAAATCAAAGTATAGACAAATTTACATTAAATATAAGATGTATTAATAATATATTGACTTTGAGATTGCGATAAGTGTTGATTTAATTTGTCTTTAGCTTATATTTAATTTTAAAATCAAAATGACCTATTATTTATATTGACATGGAAGTATTTTTAAGAATATATAAATATTTTTTTAATTTTCTTTATAATTTAATCAAGAGTTTTTATTTTAAAATATTAAATAAATATAAAAGTTGATATGATTTGACTCATTGGTGATAACGATGGTCTTTTTAATTTTTTTGTAAATTGAAGCTTATTATGTTAGAATATTTATGGTAGTAGAGAGAACTTATTGATGAGGTTATATATATATATCCTCCACATACATATAAGTTGAAAGTATCATATATGAGATTTTGGAGCATTTTACTTAAAAATATGAAAGAAGAAAAAAAAAAAACTACAATGCTTAATTTAAATAATTTTGATAGTGCAAATCGAGGATCATAGAGGGCTCCATTTATGTTAACTTTAGAAGATGTTAATAAAAAATAATATATTTTAATCATAAGAGATGTTTTATATGGTGGCATCAAGTGAAATTATGATGTCAAGGTAATCATCGCTTAGTAAGTGATGCAAGATAGTCTATGGCGAATGTTAGAAGTTTGATATCAAATATCAAATATCAGATATCATCATTGTTAGGCATTGAGTGATGGTCAATGTAAATCATTATAAATTGATGATGATGAATGTCGACTTATTCACTCTTTTAATAGGAGGTCATATTAGGAAGGCAAGAAGATATATGTAGGACATTTATCACTAATGGGTGCCAAACATTGGTGACTAAAGAACATTAGCCATTGATCATGGGTAACCTTCATGTGATGATATGCGATTGATTTTATCATTCTTTTAATATGAGAGAAGATCATGTGATCATTAACACAATAATTTGATGTTGCTGGCTAATGAATGTTAGACATTGTCTTCGCAGTAGTGTTGCATGTGACAATGAACAAGGAACACAAAAATTGAGTGAAAATTTTCGGTTACCTAGATCATTCACTTGATAGGGAGATGAGACTGATAACTTTAAAGATGAGAATAAAACACAAATGATTGATGGATATTTGATGTGCGTTATCAACAAACATTTTATGGTGGTTAATAGAGAGCATAAGAAGTAAGGAAATATATGTTAACCAACTTGATTGATCTACATATAATAGAAAGGAATAAATGATAATGAAGATAGTTATTGAAATTGGTGGCTACCAAATATAAGATATTAGTTGCTAACATGCATTAGGATATAATTGATGCAAAACAACAAAAAGTTGGGTGATGAGTGATCACCTTGGTTTTTCTTTTAAATAGACATGATATAATGCGAGGTTAGATGAGCATTGGAAATTGATCATTGGCATGTGTTAATTGATGTTCAATGAAGAATGCCAAAAGCCAAGTGACAAAGGATGATCAACTTAGTTATCATTCCTTAAGAGAGGATCGAGATTAAGTGAACATAAATATGGGTGTTGGAAGTTGGTCTTTGTTAGGCATCAAGCAAAGGTTGATGAGGAATGTCAAATGTTGGTTTAGTGAAGTGTCATTAGCCTATTCATTATTTCATTCTTTTAATATGAGGGAGGATCAAATGATCAAAAAGAAGAGCACTTGATCTTAGTGGCAAACAAGAATGGCATAAATCTGACGTTGTCATAAATAATAAATGAGACTAGGTAAAATATGTAGATATGTGTTAACGTTGTTAAGCATTTGTGGCTATAGACAAAGGCAAGCATCATTTTTTATAGATAGATAACAAGGATTATTGGTGACATCCATTGATAGCATTGAGGGTTTACGTCAGTGACGAATAATGATGACATCAACAATGATCAATGGTTGGCATCATATAGATGAGCAATGTTGGCGTCAACCATAGTTAATGGCTAATTGGTCTTTTTTATTATATATATATATATATATATATA